CATATAACATTGTGTAATATAATAAAGCACATTATAACATTGTGTAATATAATAAAGCACATATAACATTGTGTAATATAATAATGTACATATAACATTGTGTAATAGAATAATGCACATATAACATTGTGTAATATAATAATGCACATATAACATTGTGTAATATAATAAAGCACATACAACATTGTGTAATAGAATAAAGCACATACAACATTGTGTAATATAATAAAGCACATATAACATTGTGTAATATAATAAAGCACATACAACATTGTGTAATAGAATAATGTACATTTAACATTGTGTAATAGAATAATTCACATATAACATTGTGTAATAGAATAAAGCACATATAACATTGTGTAATATAATAAAGCGTAGCAGGTGAACATGAACGTGTGAACATATAAACAGCAGTTGCAGAAGGCGCTGCTGCTTCACAGGAGGAAACATTCAGTCTGTATAAAGACTGAAGCATCTTTGTCCCGTTTAAAGTGAAACACAAGCGTTTCTGCACTGAAGCCTCTTAAAGCGTCTGTTGCCGTGGACAACGGCGTCATGGCGTCTGACATCAGGGACTCTGTGGTGGCTTCACGTCGTCCATCAGTCCAGTGAGACGGAGGCAGAAGGCTCTCCAACGTTTACGTAGTTCACCGAGTCGTCTTCTTCAACCACCTCATCCATCTGCTGTAAACAACAACAACAACAACACAACTGTGCTGAGATGCTGAAGGACACGGAGCAGATGGGTTTGTAGGAACAAAGAGCAGCTCCAGAGGAAGCGCTGGGGTTTGTGGGGATCCTCAGTGAGAAGTGGAGAACTGATGTTACAAACACTTTACTGACGCTACGATTCTCTGATTAAACTCACCATGATTTCTTCCATCCGGGTTTCTTTCCCTGAAACACAAGAAAAGACTCCAGTTTAGATTTGAGGGTAAAATGGAGGTTCATCAAAACCTTTTGGCCTCATATGTGAATGTTGTCACCTTTAGTTCTTGTCCAGATGTTGACTGTAACAACACTTATTAAAAGTGCTGCTGAACCCAAACACACAACGAAGGTCCTCAACAAGGCTGAAACAGAGTGAAACACAGTCAGAGGGGTGATGATCAATAGATGATCTTTGATAGATGATCAATAGATGATCTTTGATAGATGATCAATAGATGATCTCTGATAGATGATCAATAGATGATCTCTGATAGATGATCAATAGATGATTTCTGATAGATGATAAATAGATGATCTTTGATAGATGATCAATAGATGATCTCTGATAGATGATCAATAGATGATCTCTGATAGATGATCAATAGATGATCTTTGATAGATGATAAATAGATGATCTCTGATAGATGATCAATAGATGATCTCTGATAGATGATCAATAGATGATCTCTGATAGATGAACACAGCATGTTTCCCTGCACGTCTTTACTAGCAGTGAATGTAGTTCTGTTCTGCTCAGAACTCAAGTATCCTTCATCACGTCAAGCTCCTGAAGTTTGCGGATGACACCACCCTCATTGGACTAATCTCTGGTGGGGACGAGTCCGCCTACAGGTGGGAGTCTGACCATCTGGTTTCGTGGTGCAGCCAGAACAACCTGGAGCTCAACGCTCTAAAGACAGTGGAGATGGTTGTGGATTTCAGGAGGAACAGAGCCCCACCCTCCCCCATCACCCTGTGTGACTCCCCTGTCACTACTGTGGATTCCTTCCGTTTCCTGGGCTCCATCATCACCCAGGACCTCAAGTGGGAGCTGAACATCAGCTCCATCACCAAGAAGGCTCAGCAGAGGTTGTTCTTCCTGAGGCAGCTGAAGAAACTCAACCTGCCAAATACGATGATGGTCCACTTCTACACGGCCATCATCGAGTCCATCCTCTGCTCCTCCATCACCGTCTGGTACGCTGCAGCCACAGCCAATGACAAGGGCAGGCTTCAGCGGGTCATCCGCTCTGCAGAAAGGGTGATCGGCTGCAATCTGCCGTCCCTGCAGGACTTGTTCGCTTCCAGGTCTCTGAAGCGAGCTAAAAAGATTGCGGCCGACCCCTCCCACCCCGGACATAAACTGTTTGTGCCCCTTCCATCTGGCAGGAGGCTGAGGTCCATCAGGACTACGACCTCCCGCCACACGAACAGTTTCTTCCCGTCGGCAGTCGGGCTCATCAACAGAGGCCGGGTCCCCCACCGCCTGACTATAACACTCCACCGGTCACTCCCCCTCATACTGCACATGTCACTTTAACTGGCATTCATCACTTTGTCACTTGTCCACTTTGTCTCCTCGTCTGTTACTTGTTTGTTAGTGCACTTTAAGGCTTAATATTTTTTCAACTTTTTTAATATTTAAAATTTGTTTAACTTTTATTCCCCTGGTTTTATACAAACCCCATAGCCTTAGCCTTATTCCTACTAACCGCTTTGGATAAGCATGTTCCATTCCACCTTTATTTTATTACCTGTGCACTGTTGTCTTGTCTGTCTACTGTCGC